AATATTTATATTGAGATAATGTAAAACTTCACTACTCCCTTGGTGCAATGAAAGGGATTTTACTTTGTCTAAAGTAATAAGCTCTGTTTTGTGCAGATTGATACACTGATACTTGTGGATCAAACACTAAATCATGTAGACACCAGATGGGCCAGCCTTCCCACTAAGTTCAGCATTCTCAGGACAGTGAAATGATGCCTCTACCTACACTTGGTCAGATGGAGAGAACAGGGAGAATCTGGCTGATTGTAGTCCAACACTTTTGTAAATTGAAGCAAGAATCGTTGGAAGGATGAATCTCTGAGAGGTATATGGACTATGTATCTCCCTTTTGCCATCCCTCTCAGTTGTATTGCCTCATGTGGCTTCTGCCCCACAGGATAAAGTGCTGTACTTCTTGTTGGTTGGCTGACTTCCAAGGTCCTGCACCATTTATCATGCTTATATTTCACAAGATTACCTTCATATTTGTATGCTTCCCCATCCTCTTCTGATACGCAAAACCGTAATTCACTTGAGAATACCAGAAATTGATTTATTGACAAAGAAGTTATAATTTATGCCAGTCTGGGAATGTTAAGAGCCACAGAAAAAAATGAAACAAGTAATGCAAGATTACACCTCATTTCTTCTGTGAAGGGCATTGTATGAGCTATTTGTGGATTTTTAGGCTAAATAATTATTTAATTATACCAGAGCAGGTTCTTCATTGTTTAGTCATGTTAGTACTGCAATCGATAACTTTGTTATGGGATTTTTTTTCATTGAGCAAAGATGAGAGTTAGTATTGAAATAGTTTTGTTTACAGGTGAAGGTTTCTTTGAAGATTATGAGAACTGAGCCTGTGATCTCAGTGAGCCCAATGCAAAGGTCACCACTGCTGCAACTAGTCAGCACACTTGTCAGATGAACAGAGGCTGCTGGTTGAAGGGGCTGTGAAAAAGGCACTCCTAGTTATACTATGGGTATGCAATTCTTTCTGGGTGGAAATAAAACATAGTAAGAGATGATGATCAGTAGCATGTGGTATTGCTGCTATTACATGTATAGCACTGTAAAGGAAAGAAAAAAAAATCTCCTGTCAAAGAGAGGCACCTTCCTTAAATATTTACTTTACTGCACATTGATACACGGACTTATTTCCTTCATTTGTTTCCTTGCTTTTGGTGACTGTTTTAAAATTTATGGCCAAGTAACCTTTTAGTACACTTTAGAACTGCTACAAGGTCAGGCAGTCCACGTGGAGAGGCAGTGCACTGAAGCTTGCTTATGTGGAGATGTTTAACCATGACATTAGCCAGACATTTTATTGTTTCTGGAAGATAGTTAATTCAAAGAACCATATGAATAAAAGAGCAGATTCCATTCTGTATTGTCCAGTACTATTTTCTTGATTTCTTTACTGAGTGCACTGATGCTCCTTCAATTAAACGAATTGGCAAATGTTTGAGGAGACAAGAAGCTTAAGTTAGATACAGAATTGAGCCCTGTATTTCTTAGGTAATACAGATACTGGTTTAAATTCCACCCACCACAGGTTATTTCCTTGCGTTTTTAGGGAGGGGTGGCCCAAGAATATATCCACAACACTCCATATGATAGTCCAGGGAAAAGGAAGCTTTACAGTGATTTAGAATATGAGTTCTGCTGTAATAGCTTTCAAATATCCCTGGGCATTCTTGTGGGCCACCAGCTGCAGTGGCAGATTACAGCTGAAAATTACATTTAATATTCCAAATTGTGCTGCTGCTTGGTTCAAAAAACCGAACAGTAGTACAGACCAAAGAATGCTGAATACTCTTTCTTGTTGGGCCACATTTTCATAGTGCAGTCGGTTTTGTTTCGTGCATCTCCAGCATACAGTTAGAACAAAAACTTGAATAGAAATTAATAACTCTTTTAAAATAAACTATAATGGACAATAACTTCTTATTTTTAATAAAGGGGAAATAATGATACTTAACTATTGTCTGTCAGTTTGCAACATAATGTAAGTAAGAATACATGTTGCTTTTGCCTACAAATTTATTTCTGTATAATAGAAATTATACTTTTCTGATAGTGATGAAATCTCAGAAAAATGTCCAACATACAGTAACTGAACTGGAAATTTTAATAATGTTTATACTCACTAAAAACAATAATTTCAATTATAATATACCATTTAGCACTTCAGTGTTGGAAGCTCTCTAAAAGGACACTTCAGTTGAAATATTTAATTACAAGCAAGCTATTATTCAAGAATAAGCATTTAAGGGTTTTGCTAAACATGCAAGTAAATCCATGAATGTAAGACAGATTGTCTGGGGCATGAATCAAGCAGTAGTGAAAATGTCAAGTGAAACCCTTAGCAGCAGTGAGCAAGAACAGTGCTGATTTATACCAACCGAGGACCTGGCCTGCCAAGTGTCATGGCTGTGACAGTCACTGGCAGTCGCTGGAGTCAAGGGCTGCAGCGAGATGGATGAGAATATCAGCTAGCCCATTTGAAAGCAGACCTTCTATAAATAATATCAGAGAGATTGGTTCAGATGGCAAACCAACAAATTGCCAACTCCATCTGGAATCCTCTTTGTATGTATGTGCATAATAAGGGAAGGAGCCTGGGTAAAATGCTGTTCTTGCAGCCCTGGGCATTACAAATCAGCCTGGTAGGTTGCTCCCATGGCTCTTGCAGGAGACTTCCAGCATGATTTCTTAAAGCAAGGGTCAGCCTGGAAGGAAAACAAGATCACTTTCAAATTTTCTGCATTTGCACTGGTTTGCTTAAGCAGTGAGTCTGCTGCTACCTTATATCCTTTTGGGTGTGAAAGGGAGAATAAAGAGCAAAAGACAAAGGAAACATGGGTGAACTGAAGAGAGTAACTTCACTGACTGTCCTGTATGCAAATGCTCCACTTAAAAGGAAGTGTATTAGATTTCTCATACTTTTATAAGTACACAGGGTAAACATAATTGCTCATTGATGGAAATTATGTTTTTATTTACCCCGTATGCACCTACATACGAGATTCTGCCTTTTAAGCAGTTAAGATGATTTAAAAACTGTATTAGTAACGCCATTGCCACCACATAGGGAAGACTGGGTTCTCAAAGGAACTCTTCTTTACCCAAGTTTACTACTGAATAAGGCAAAGGCTACAAAATTGTCTTTCTGTTGATTTGCAAAAGGTAAATTACAGGTTTTGCTACCAGGTAATATGAAAAGCTGCCTTATGCTCCCAGTGAACAGCGTCCAAATACCTTATTTTGTACCATGGAAGTCCAGAAATCCCCTTAGTATCTTTTCTCATATTCAGTATTACATGCTCCTTTCTGAGTTTACTGAGTTTTATGTATACTCTGACACAGTGCCTCTCAATTCTCTTATACAAATTGTGCCACTTGTTACTCACCAAACAGAAGGAGCGGCATGGTATTCTGAGGTGCTGTAAGACCTGCCCTGAAAAGTAGAAAGCATCTCAAAGTTTAAATACTTAGTTATGAATTTTACTATTCCATTTCCTTACTTCTGGAGATCAAATCATCACTAACGCAGTAGGATTTCATTGTAGTGGAAGTAGAAATGGGGATTGTGTTGTTCCCACAGCTTTACTGGAGTCACGAGCCAGATCCTGTCCTCTGGCACACGTTCCTTTAGATACTACTGCATTACTCTCTGAAACTGTTCTTAGTTCATATTTCAGTTTTCATTGTGCAGGGCTGATTTGAAGTTATGAGTCAAAACCTCTGCCAGTAGAAATCCACAGAAGTAACTGTTTTGTGAATGCAGATTTTGGCTCAGTGTATTCTCAGCTTTGCCACCTACAGACACACCCCAGCTCTGCAGACCACTCTACATGTCCCATACTCCCTTGTACTGCACAGTGGGGTGTCTGGGGATGAGCCTGGGCACTGGGACTGTCTTTCCCATGCCGTGACCAAAACATAGTTCTGACAAAGTGCAAAAGGGCACTTTCTGCAGCAGCTCCTGAGCAGGAGTTAGGACCAACCCAGGTCTGTTCCCAGCAGGCAGTTTGGGTGCAGCAACACCATTTTAGAGGCTTGCAGAGCTGGTAGGATGGACCTGAGCTGCTCTGTGCTAACTGACCTCATAACCAAAGAACAAGTACTGGCACTGCAGAGCTCACTTATGTAAATGTAGCCAGGTACCTCTGAACAAAACACTGGGTATCAGAGATGTTACTGTGAGGACGGGAGGTTTGACTAATTTTAACATAGAACCCAAGCTGAATTTTTTTTCTCTGCTTGAAAGTGATGTGTGAGCAAATCCATAAAACAGCTAAAAAAGAAGTGTCACATGCTAAACATGAAAGAGCGTTCTCTGTTACTATATATGAACCACTACCCCAATTTAGATACTTGTTTGCTTCAACCTGTTGTATTGCTATGTGACAGGTCCTACTGTACCCTAATCCTGTGGGTTTACAGTGGAGCCAGTCATAATGTAGAAGTTGTAACATATGGAAAAAATACCTGTTACAGAAATAGAATAGCCACATTTGGGAGTGGGAAAGTGTTATACAACCAAAATGTGGCAGTTGTCTACTTCCTAACCTGATGTTTTAAATGTGGTTGTTTTTCTTTTATAGTCTCTTGTTTGTGGTGCTTAATGCTACCTAATGGAGTGCTTTATTTTCTAATGGAGAATGGTATTCCTGGAAGTAGGCAGGCAGGTTTTAACCTCTATTCCAGAAACCATTAAAATATTACAATTGAATATATATAAAAAATAAAATTAGTCTGCACAGCCTCTCTTAAAGATACCATATAATTAACAAAGACAAATTAAGTTATTTTGTTCCATTAAAGGTCTCTAGAAACGAATAATCAGATTCTCAAATTTGATATTTCTATACTGACCTGGAATGATCAGGAGGCTGTACTGAGTCTTCTCTGAAAAAGGGATAAGGGATAAAGGGAGGAAAACAGGTTTCATCTATGGGAAGGTCCACCTCTTGAATTTAAAAAGCAAAGCCAAACCCTGTCTCTTTTTCCAGCAAAATCATGTGCCACCAAACCTACAACGTTATAGCAGAAATGGCGTGTGTGCAGTGCTAGCTAAAACTGCCCTTTAAAGATCAGTGTAACTATTGTCCTAGAAACTCAGGAGGCACAATCCTGGAGCACAGGAGGAAGAAGCTGGGAGGAAGGGTATATTTTCAAAAGAAAATAATGCTCCAAATGAGAAACGGGAGCCAAGGCTGCACTTGCAGAAAAGGCCTGGGGAGCTATGGAGCTACATCTTTGGGAACCCACGTGCTCTGAGAATAGGAACCAGCTAGTTTTGGTGTTAAAACAGAAAACAAAGCGGCAAAGCCAGAAAGCAGGAGGGGGGACTGGTTAACATGATTAAGCAACTCTTAAGATAGCATGGGATTACTTCAGTTGCGTCATGTGAAATGAGTACAAGAGAGAACATTTTGCATATATTTCAGGGAAAGCTTCCTGTCAGTGACAGATTCTGGACTGAAGAGTCTCTACATTTTGCATTATTGTGACCGACATTTTCAGATTAATGCAGACAAAGAAAACAAGGCGAGCAAAGGTCCTTGCTCCAGTGAGGGGTTGTCCTTTAGATGACACTGATCTGTTATTATTTGTGGAATTATACACAGAGTGGAAAATATGTTATCTTGAAATGTATTGTACTGAGGCATACTGGCACCTTGGTCAGCAGCTGATTATCACTGTTTTAGTAATGTTTCATGCATATTACCTTTTGCCATTCCTAAAATGTGAGTGATTCCATAAGCTTAAAGTGTAGAATTGGCAGAAGAGACTGGGATTTAGGGGGATTTGGACTATAGGGTTTTCTGTGCTGTAGAAGCTAGCATGGACAAAGGGCTAGGAAATGATTCTGCCCAATGAAAGGAAAATGGACTTGGTGTCACAAATGTTTAAAATTCGCATACCTTCAATTGATAAACATTTGATTACAGACTAAGTCTTTGGGCCTTAAGTAGCTGCAAGTACACCGCACCAGTGATAGATTTGGCACTGCCAAACTTTTACAACAGTCAGTGCTTTTAGAGTTGTAATCTGGATGTTAGCATATGCAGCTGAAGTTGTCAGGCCCTTCACCCTGAATGTAACTCTCATGAACCTCAGAAACTGATGTCCTAAGTTGGTATAGAGAAAATTTACTCCTTCTTAGGTATCTCCTCTGGATCCAATCCCCAAAATCCCCAAAATCCCCAAAATCCCCAAATCCACTATTAACTTTATCTTTTCTGCTGATGATTTAATCCCCTTGAATGTCTGCCAGTCTCAGGTGAATTTCATCTGGGCACTTGCTGAGTTTCCTGTGAGTTAAAATCCTCAGGCATGGATAATTCACCTGCTCTTGCTAGAGAACTTGTATCCTTTTGCTAAAATGAGAAATGTCTTATGCCATGGTCTATTATTGTGTTATTCACTCTGTTTCACATCCTAGCAATAATTTTTTAAAAGGCATTTTATCCAATTTTCCACTTTAGCTCAAAGCACAAGGATTGAACAAAAACATATTTGGTATCAGGCATGTTTTGTGCAGCACTTACTGTGGCTGAGGAGAATGAGCAAATGAGTAACATTTTTTGCTGCCTGAAAAATCCATTATAGCCTAATGCCATCCATTATAGCCTAATGCAATCAAAAAGATTTTCTTTTCTTCCTTTCTGCTCTCAGCCCTTTGACTTTTCACATACACATCATTAATAGAATGTGAAAAGATTTTCCAGCACAAATGAAAAGTTTATTCTTCTAGTTCTGCAAAGTAGAACCTGTGACTAAGCTGAGTTCTAGTGATTGAATACCCGTTTCTTTTCGTAATGAACTTTTCTTGGCCCCTGTGTCCAAACATAGAAGTGGGAGAACTTTTCTATGTGGAAAACATAAAGGCAAAGGGAACTATGGAATCAAATGCATTGCTGTTTAGCAGGAGCAAGAAAAAATACCTGCTTTTGATTTCACAGTTGGTTCTGAATGTGATGAAGAGAAATGTAAAAATTGGTTTTGGCATGAATAGTCAACCTTTATTATTTTAATATGAGTTGAAGAAAGACAGAAAAATATTGAAGTAGGAGGGGATAAAGAAACAAAGATGAAACTACATTTTAGAACTGTTAAGCCTGATAGAACTAAAGGACCAAAAGACCAGCTGGCATAAGTAAGCAGTTCTCCATTGATATTAATGGGACAGAATTAGAATTATTAGGAAACTGAAGAGGAAGGGATGGAATTGCATATACTGTGTAGGAAGAGATAAAATTCTTGAGTGAAGAAAGGAATGGTAAGAGAATAGTCAGTTTTAAGGCATGGTAATGAGCAGTCCATTATGGTACAGAGTGTAAGTTGGTAAAAGTTGTGAGGATTAGTTCAGGTTTTGGCATAGCAGTTGTATTTTTCTGGATTGATTTCATTGAACTGCTGCTAGAATAGGCTTTGACTCACAGAGTCTGAGAAGTAGAAATATGGGGGAAGAGAGGGAAGGGAGTTACTCTTTTGCTAAAGTACAGTGTAAGAGCTGTAGGAAATTACTCTTAGGGAAGAAGTGTTGCTATTACTTAATAATTTTTTGTGACATTCAAATTGACTGAAGGGTGTTCCCAAAACTATTAACAAATTTAGTCAGATTCCGTAGGCTTGATCTATTAAATGAAAGACAGCAACAGTACTACTCTTACATTCAAAAATACATAGCCTCCTGTTTTGCCCAAGAAACTGATGAAGTGGGTGCAGTTCCTTCATGCAAGACCCTGAGGAAAAGGGGTTAGACCCAACTATTTTGACAGCCTTAGAATATAGTTACACTACCAGTTCAAACCTATGTAAGATGCTCCTACTAAAAGAGGTGATGCTAACCTTCCATTAGATTTAGGGTCTAAATAAGTATGATTACAGTTACATTACAAACACCTTGCAAATGACATTTTCCATTAAAAATTGCATGGTATTACAGTATTTTATGGATGTGTGCAACACAGTTGGACATCCTGTTGAATTGCAATTATGCTTTCATCTTAATCCTTTCTGGACAAGATTTCATCCTCCTTTTGCAGTTCAAGTAGTATGCAGCTGCCTTTCACAACTCATGTTGCTGCAATTGAAATAAATAAATGAAAATGCATGTTGATTAAAATTTGACTTTTATCTCCACATTTTACAAATATATCCAGTCATTTTCCTTGAGGAAAGCCACATACTGTGTGAGAGACTATTTGATAGCATGAGTTTGTATGGAATCTTTTTCTATGGTCAGGAGGAGAAACAACACAGGATCAGCTTGTTAAGATTCACTTATTAGTACTTGTTTAATATCTGTCTTAGTCCATAAAAGGTTTCTTTTTTTAGACAACTTGAGAAAAGCGTGAAGAAGTCTCAGCCAAAACAGTGCCCCATTGGAAGCTGTATAGTAACAATTGAATTCTAAAGAAATAAAAATGTAGCTCAGAGAAAGTTTAAGGAGGACAGGAGCAGATTCTCCTGGAAGGCATGCTAAGGCACATGAAAATCAACAAGGTGCTTGGTGACAGCCAGCGTGGCTTCACTAAGGGGAAATCCTGCCTGACCAATTTGGTGGCCTTCTGTGATGGGGTTACAGAACTGATGGACAGCAGTAAAGCAGTTGATGTCATCTCCCTGGACTTGTGCAAAGTGTTTGACACTGTCCCACATGACATCCTTGTCTCTAAATTGGAGAGACATCAATTTGATGAACGGACCACTCAGTGGATAAAGAACTGGCTGGATGGCCTCACACAAAGAGTTGTGGTCAATGGCTCAATGTCCAGCTGGAGACCAGTAACGAGTGGTGTCCCTCAGGGATCGGTGTTGGGACCGGTCTTGTTCAACATCTTCGTCGCTGACACAGACAGTGGGATTGAGTGCGCCCTCAGCAAGTTTGCCGATGACACCAAGCTGTGTGGTTCGGTTGATACGCTGGAGGGAAGGAATGCCATCCAGAGGGACCTTGACACGTTTGTGAGGTGGGCTGATGCCAATCTCATGAAGTTTAACCATGCCAAGTGCAAGGTCCTACACCTGGGCCGGAGCAATCCCAGACACAGCTACAGGCTGGGCAGAGAAGAGATTCAGAACAGCCCTATGGAGAAGGACTTGGGGGAGCTGGTCGATGAGAAAATGAGCATGAGCCTGCTTCAGTGTCTGCTCGCAGCCCAGAAAGCCAACTGTATCCTGGGCTGCATCAAAAGGAGCGTGACCAGCAGGTCAAAGGAGGTGATCCTGCCCCTTTATTCTGCTCTCGTGAGACCTCACCTGGAGTGTTGTGTGCAGTTCTGGTGTCCTCAACATAAAAAGGACATGGAACTGTTGGAACAAGTCCAGAGGAGGGCCATGAAACGATTAGGGGACTGGAGCACCTCCTGTATGAAGATAGGCTGAGAAAGTTGGGGCTGTTCAGCCTGGAGAAGAGAAGGCTGCATGCAGACCTCATAGCAGCCTTCCAGTATCTGAAGGAGCTTAGAGGGATGCTGGGTAGGGACTCTTCATTGGGGACTGTAGTGATAGGACAAGGGGTAACAGGTTAAAACTTAAACAGAGTAAGTTTAGATTGGACATAAGGAAGAAGTTCTTTACTGTGAGAGTAGTGAGGCACTGGAATGGGTTGCCCAAGGAAGCTGTGAATGCTCCATCCCTGGTGGTGTTCAAGGCCAGGTTGGACGAGGCCTTGGGTGATATGGTTTAGTGTAAGGTGTCCCTGCCCATGGCAGGGGGGGCTGTAACTAGGTGATCTTAAGGTCCTTTCCAACCCTAACTATTCTATGATAAACTAATGAGAGGTGAATGGTTATTAAATGACTTCCCTCATCATGCTTGCGAGTAAACATTCAATTTTTGCAGTTGACTGTTTCATGAGCAGGGACTTTGAGAATTTGGCAACACATTTGGACTTCAGTAATTAAATTCTGTGTACATCCTATTTTGGTTAGATGCTGAATTTTTGAGGCCTAGACGTCCCTCTCAACTTAGTAACCTATCAGGGGAACTTTATGCCTTCAAGAACATCTAGGTCTGTGGTCACTGGCGACCAAGATTGATGGGGAAGCAACCTACAGTGTCTCACATAATGCATTACATTCTCAGTGTATTTCTGGAGGGCCACTGACGATGCTGAATCTGTCCTTTTCCAGAATTCAGCTTCTCACAAATGCCAGGAAGCCTGGTCTTTCTCTCAGGCTCTGTAAACAGTGGGAGGCTCTGTCTTGGAGGAGTAGGGACTCTTCTGCTCTTCCTGCCATCCCAGACAGCTCCTGTTCACTGTTTCCTGCTGTTAGCACCACGCAGCACTGTGAATGGTGAAGGGGGTGTATGTGAATAATTCTGCCTGGATGATTGCTATTATAATCTGACTGGATGTTTTGGTTCTCCCATTATCAGCATGCACAGTGGATGTTCCTCTGGTTATGTAAAATCTCCTCTGTCATTTGGACTTTTTTCTCTACTTGCGTATTGATGAGAAAATTGAGTAAAACTCATAGCTTTTTAAGCCATCTTTCCTTCAGCTGTTACATTATCTTTGTTTCCTGTTACACTAGACTTCTTATAAATTGATTAAGTTTAAGTAATAACCTACATCATTAAGGGAGTCAGGAAATTTCTTTTTCAGCAAGTGTCTTTTAATAGAAAATAAACCCAAGATATTTAACAGAGCTTGGGGTATGCCAGAAGTAGAGTTTTAGTTACCTTTTTTGTATGTTTGTTTTGAAGGTTCATGCCTGTGGCATCATATCCTCCAGTGCTCACAGAAGGAAGGGTAGGTTTAGCAGAGCACATCCTGTTTCTCCACTTTCAGTTCGAGATAGTCAGAAATTTTAGATTACCCTTCAAAGGGTTTTGTCTGAAACAAAACAAACTTTTGGCATGTTTGCCAAGCCTCCAGCTCAAAGGGAGCTGGAGGTATTTTTACTGTCACCACTGAAACTGGAAAAAGCACCATTTTCCCTGAATAGCTGCAACACCCTCCATTTTATCTTTACCTGATATTCCCAGTTTTGTTGGGTTTATTCCATGGTGATCCATATGAAATCAAAAATGTTTCCAGCAGACTAGAAACTCACATATTGAGCATGAAGGACAGTATTGCATGTATAGCCTTGTTAGAGAGCTTTGTATTCACAGAGCAACATATGTAAAACTAAAGAAGTTTGTTTGATTTCCAAGAGGAGAACTAAACTAAACATGTTGCTTAACATTAAGTGGGAACATCCAGCAACACAAATGTCACCACCATCATGTCATAATGAAATTATGATTTCACCCTTCCTCTCAGGTCCTTATTTGTGCCAATTCCTTAAGTGACCACTCAAGAGACATTTCATGCAAGTCCTTCCTAATTAACAAGGAAGTGTTCAGAATTGCGACTTCCTGTCTATGCTTATTGTGTTGATTAGATATGGGCATATGTTCTTGTTTGTGTTCATTACTTCAAAACCATGATCTTGAATGTGCTGGCTCATTCACAGGCTGTTGCAAGGGTGAGAAGCAATGGTCTGGTGCCTCTTTATAGCTTGTTACTTAGTTTATTACCGACTGTCAACTCACTGTCTCTGCAGGGCAAAGAGGGACGATATTTCTCTAATGCTACAGTTCAGTCAATATATATGGCCTACCAAATTTATCCAAACGTCCTCAGTAAATAAAATCTTAAACACATTGGTTTGATGCATGGGACACTGCAGTTCAGTATATAGGTGTGGGAACCTTATCTGATTCCCATGGAAGTCAATGAGATTTAATTTAAGTTTGAATCAGATTCTGCAGACACAACAGTGTAGCAAAAAACTAGATGTTTGCACAGGCTGCAGCCAGGCATGGCAGCCTTGCAATACTCTATGTCTCCCTAAGTTTTGCGAGTATAAATTACTTCTTCATTCTTAGGTCTTCTCATGCTAGCATACAGACAGTGAACTATGATAAAGGCACAGCCATTGACATCACAAACTGTATGAATTCACATGCTGAAGTCTATCTGGCATTTGTTTTGTTTACCTTCCTTTGTTTTCTCCAACCCTGCCATATACAGAAATAATCGATAGTAATCTGCTGAAGGTTTCCTAGTCCATCAATGGCTTAGGGTAGTTGTCTCCTTCCTTCTACATCATACCAGCAAAGCTTTTGCCCCTGCACAGAGGCCTTAATAATCAGTTATCTTACAGTGAGGGATTATTATGAGTTGGAGCCACTGAGGAGTCACCATAGAAAAGGAGTCTTGTGGTGAAAGCTTTGCATATATGCAACAGCAACTTGGCTTATCCTCTTGCTGTCAGTAAGAGGCACAGTATAAGTAGAAAAAAATAACTTTTCCAGCATTCACAAGGAATTTTTTTAACATTTAGGTTTTGAAAGATTGCCTGAGTCCCTCATGGGTTTTTTTTTTTTTTTGTTTCTAAAGTCTGTAAAAACAGTGTTAGAAAACTGATGAACCAAAAGGTAGACAGAGGCATGTCTGTTAAACCACAGCCCTACCCAGGGTACACACTGTAACCTCTGCTGCCAAAGCATGGACTTCCCAGCTGGTCTCAGTCACCTGTTCAGAATACCAAGTGTCTTCTTTATAATTTGTTCAGTGTTGGCATTATTTTGTAGTGATGAAAGTTTGTTGAAAGGAAAAACAAAAGCCAGTGTGTTGAGGCAAGGATTGCAGAGCATTGTCTTGGAGTGTACGTGGTAAAAGGTTGTAAAACTGGCTTTTCCTGTCAAAGGGATCCACTGTTGGTTCCTTCAATTAAATCTGTCACAAAAAAAACCCCACGTTCTAATAGTAGAAATAGGAGAGGGGTCCAAGTAACTGTTCCATCTCCCTCCCAGTCTGCGATATCCACAAGGACTCTAAAACAGGCTGTGTTCATGTCACTATGAAAATGTTGTACCAGGACCACAAAATCTGATGTGTTCCAATGCAGTATTTCAAAATCCCCATCACAGTCTTGAAAAGCGTAAGGGGATGTAGAGCTGGAGAATAAACAGTCCAATAGAGAGATACAGCAGTGACTTTGAATCCAACTTGGATTCGCATGCAGACGTGGTTCATGTCCGTACCTGCTAGCAGCATGCTGTAGGATCGTAAAACCCCTTTTGAACACTTCTGTGTAGGTGATACTTCC